GATAAGATAAGAAAGTCTGAACAACAATAAGCAAGTGGTGCCATCTGTTGGCGAAACCAGAACTAAAACATAATTTCTCTAAAAGCCAAAGGCAAATTTGGATTGGAATTAGGATCGTTAACTAGAACAGAAAGATTTTTATGAATGTGAAATGCCTCTAGAAAAATCCAGTTCTCCAATGGAAGATGTGTTTTTTGAATAATTTTGGCAGCAGAAAAAACTGAACGTGGGTTTTCGGACCACAATGTTGAGCAACAGAAGACTTCTGGTTTCCTTTTTTTAACATATCCTCATGTTCCACGCGAAATTTTAAGGCTCTCTTGTTGGCCATGTAAATTAAACCAATGGCAAGGAATCCTATAATACCCCAGGAATTCCATATCCGGAAGGGGTCCTTGAGTATAACGGAATTTTATTGATGGGAGAATAACAACCCAAAAGTTAAATTTCTGCAAATTGTGCACTATACTATTGATGAAAGAAGGAATGACAACATAATTTTTAATAATCTCCTAAAACAAGAGTGTCCTTAGTGTGTGAGATGAGAATTTTTTGCTTGATAATAATGTGGTGAAACCTGTCAATAGCTATTGCTTTTTAAATAATTTAGTTTCATCAAGGGCTAGTTTGAGGAGCAACTTGAAGAGCACGGAAAACATAGGAATAAAATGAAGCTAACTTTTGTTTAGTCGATGACATGATTTAAAGGTGGTGGAAGGCAAACCGATGAAGGTTACGTAAACTGTAGTACTGAGTTGGATGTGAGTGTGACCAGAATTTAAATTAATACTAACGTCTTCAAGACATTCATTTTCATTAAAGGTAATAGTATCGAACTAGAAATTATTGTTAGGACAAATTTTGCTATTTCATGGACTTGGAGTTATAATTTTGGCCGCTGATTTCGAATTTCTTGGCCCTGATTTTATCGGAACAAGTACTGTAGTTTGCAGTTATCTTATGTTACTTATCTTTTTTTAACTGAATTAAGCTGATTGCTGACTTTTTCAGTACGCAAATTTCTTCTTATAATGTTAATTCAGCTATAATGTATTTTTTAGCAAAATATTCTTTCCCTAAGCCAGCGTTCATCACTACTTCTGCCGCCATTAATTGTTGGTGACAACACCTGATTGCTCCTTTTTTACCATGTGACCACAACTCATCCGCAGACGTACAGATAGAAGTTGAACATTGTTGAACTCCATCCGTATGTGATCCGTCACCGCACATCGACCGGATTGAAGATGTCAATCAAAGTGAATTCACTCGCTGATTGGAGAAACACATAGACGCCGCAACGCATACACAGCAATGGAAATGGGCCTTAAATCAAACCTTAAAAACAATATATTTATAAGCAAAATCAATATTCAACTTCCCAATACATGTAATTCTAATTTTCATTTATTAATATAATTTTCAAAACATTTCGTGTTCAGCAGCATGCCTTTATGTAAATTTAGGCTACGTCTCTGATTATGAGTAACAATTAAAACACTATTAACATCTCATTGAAACACATATTTCGTTCACATTGAAAAATTATATAAAAAGTACAAAAATCTTACTTTCTTGTACAGAAAGCTTCACATTTCCATATCACTGAAAAGCAACTTCACGAAAAAGCAAAAAGAGATCGGCAAACGCAAAGCTATCAATAAACTGAAAGTGTTATGCCACCAATTTTTAATTATTGTAAACATAATAATCATCACGTACTCAGCAATGGTGCCATCGATCAAAGTTAGACAGAACGGAAACTTCCACTGATGCAATTATAAACAAGAATGCAGAGGTTCTCATAAAAATGTACCAAGTTAGGTGTTGACACAGAGAAAAATTGTGTTATTAATGACTACAATAGCATATGTTTGTAATTCAAAAGGAAAGAGAATTCCAGTTCGCTCTATTATTGATAATAGCAGCATATCTATGGATGCCAACTCTCACTTTCAAATGTTGCTAGATGCACCTGCAAAAGTAGTTTTCACGGAGCACCAGTTGGCGACCACTGAATCTATTAGTTTTTAATTTTTAGCCTTTAATCTATGGAAAATATTTCATGCAATAAATGAAATTTTAATGAATTGATAAAACTTAAACTAGAAAAACTTCATTCGCCCACCTGTGATAATTTTCTGACTAATGTTTTGTATTGTATATTGTTGTTTCATCTGAATTATATTTTTAATCACATTTTATTGTTCTTATTAAATGTTTAATCTGAGTTGTCATAATGTACTGCAGATATTTGTTGTAAACATTATATAAAAATTCAAACAATGCTTAAACAGTTTAATTCTTCACCACTCAGAATTTTCTCAGTATAAAAGCATAAAAAAATTTTAAAGTGTAATTAGCCAAAAAACATAGAATTTAAGAGATCAGAACCAGGATCAAGGATCAGAACCAGGGAGAAAGTAGGCGGCAGAGACACATATTAACACAAGACCGTATTTATTGACAGCGCAACACTGAATAAACAATTTGTACATATACATATGCTTACTCAGCTTCGATTCTGATGGACGCCAAATAGCACCGGATTTGGCATGAGCTTAAAATAAACATTGGTAACAGGATCGTATTAAATGCTAATGTGTTTTATATAAGAAATGAATTGCAAATTTTTCAGTAACCCGAGCCTTGCATTTTAAAATGAATTAAAGTCAGTTCGAAACTTCTTTTAAATGGTGTCACTGCGCAATGTTAAAAACTTCCCGGTTTCTCCCAGTTTTCTTGCAAAAATCGCCTGATTCTCAAGGTTGGAAGCTATGTAATGCAATACTAACTTTTTTGTTTGTTTGTTTGTTTTTAGTCGCTTTTTAAGAAGTTATGTACATAGTGTTGTAGTGATATAGTCTTTCAAATGCTTATTAGTCTGTTTTCAGTTAGGCTTTCTGTATAAAGCAAAACATATTGTTTTCATCAGGTTTTACTTTATAATATTATACGAAAAATTTTCTTTAAGTCTGACTATAAATTGCTGTCTATCAGTTTTTCCCTCTGTGTAACAATGTGTTTAATATTTATCTCTTTTTATATATTTCTCATTGCAATATAATGTTTTAGATGGTAAAATTAAATCACTCATATATATCTGGGGGGAGAGTACTTTTAACTATTTTATGGCTTTTTTCTCAAATTTTGGGTAAAAATATATGGAATTGTAGGAAAATACATTGCCATTATTTGTTTTGTAAGATTCTAATAAGATTACAGATTTTATGCTCATTTGTTGGTTGTATAAATGTAAATGTAGTTTTGAAAATAAATTTATAAACTTCCAGTTATAAATTTCATCTTAAGATTTAAAGTGAGTTGTTTTTAAAGAGGTATATTTGTTATGAATTGTTGGATCATAGATATGCAACAAAGCACAATAGCTCCAGTTTTGCTGGATGTTAGAGAAGTAATTATCTTTTTCAGCTACTCAGTCACTGTAAATCTAAATTTTAAAAAAAATAAAACGTTTTGGTACTCTCTTTCTTTTATTTTATTTTTTAAAGGCATTGGGCATTTACGTATTGGAGGAAACGTGACATAATTTAATAATGCTTTTCTTAAATTCCTACTGTTAGCTCACACTCCTTGTTTAAATTTTCAATCGTTGATAAAATACTTTTTATTTATTCACTCAAGTTCAATTAAATTTTTTTAAACTTTTAGTAGATGACACTTGATGTAGTTTTTTCACATATTAAAAAAATTTAATTTTTAAATAATTTATTTTTTTATTTTCAAAATTTTTCTTTGTTGATCTAAGTAAGAAGTGATTTAAAAAAAATTATATTACTTTTTTATTTATGCTGATATTCAGGCTTCTTTCCTTTGTGCATTGAATATTTCATTTGAATCGTATTGTCTTCCAAATTTTGTGATTCTAGTTATGAATTATTTGATTATGCTAAAGCATATGGTCTGTTATTTTAAACTAGGCATTTCAAGATCATTCTAGAGCCTTACCAGTAGGTTGACTAACTAAAATTTCTGAGTGGTAGGATTTGGGTTTGATCTCGAGCAAACAGGCCGGCAGCATATTTTTTCGCCATGTGCAACGGGAATACGAGGCAGTTCCCATTAGGCAGATAGCCTCATATGTTTTGCCATATTCTGATAACCTAATCAAACCAATGGACATTGTGTCTTTTAACTTACCTCATACTATAGTATTGTCTGCTACAGAAGATGTTCAAATGTATTAATTTGCTAAAATCATATAATCCTATCTGTGTGGTTTTAACAAAATACGTTAGGATCATAAAAACCGTGAAGTGTCTATCTAAAAATAGTATATGCGTATATATGCCTATGACAAAGGAGGGCTTCATAATTAGCTCTTGTTTATGTTACACATTAGAAGAAAGCATTAAATCCTCTTGCAACCAACTTGATCATCCGTCAAAAAGAAACCGTGGGGGTGAACTTTAGCGTTTCATGTTTTTAACTACTGTGTCATAGATCACTTTGTAACTCGGTTGTATTTATTTGTTAAGAGTTATCCATAACTGAATAGGCATTTACATTTGAAGGTAATAAATCATTTGTTCCATGTAAAAAGTGCATTTTTTTTTTTTTAAATAAGAGATGAATAGATGATTTAATAGATTTATTTACCAAAGAATAAAGAAATAAAAGCTAATATAAAAATCTAAAATGTTGAATGGTACTTTTACCTCAATACTGATTTTTGTTTTACCTCAATACTGATTTGATTTCATAATGGGTTTTCGTTCAATGCTATAAATTGGTATGAATTAATACTGATTATTGGGAAAGTTATTTTGTGTGTATTATGTTGTGTCAAGATAGCAAATCATACAAAACAAGTTCTATCTGCATGCATAAGCATAAAATTGAGAACGAAGAATATGTTGTAGTTTTTCGTTTTATGCAGTCAGTTTTTAAATTCAAGTTTTATATTTTGGCTACATATAATTGTAAGTGATCTAAATGGAATGAAATAAATATTTTACTTTTTATCCCTCTTCCTTTAGGGCAAATAGTGACAGTGCGAGTCAGGCATCAGCAGCTCCTCGAAAGTACAGGAAAGCTCTAAGAAGAGGATTGCGAAAACAAGAATGAGTGTGAAAGAAGACGACAAAATCTGTTTATCTGTGAAGCATTTTTATGTGTACTGAAAGTTCACCAAGCCATGAGGTGCCTCCTACAGAAGCTTGCAAATGGCATCTGATAAAGTGTACATTGCTGCATGCAACTTATAATACAAAATTCCTTTGTTATCAGTTGGTATTTTGCAAGATCCCCAGAAAAGTTGTAATTTGACAGTGTCAAATTGCAAAAGGCTGAAATATTATTTTCAACATTTTGGTAGCTGAATGAAAACTGAAAGCTGTGTCTTGAAATTGCAAGTTTAAATATAGACTGTGATGTATATATAAAACGTGGCAGCCGTAAATTTCCGGTTGTGAACCAAGTAGTGTACATAGATTAATTTTGTTTTAGATTCTGTAAAAATGGAACTCAGGAAAAAAGATAAGTCTTGATTTTGACCATTGACCTTGAAAACTTATTTAAACTAACATTTTGAAGAATGAAAGTAAAGAAGCAGAACTTCAGCTACCATCAGTATGGGTTTGCTGCTTTTTATGCCAGTAGTAGTATAACAAATATTTCTGTTGTAGGCATCATCGAAGAATAACTACTTAGTATTTAACCCTGCATCTTAAATATATTCATTGGAATGCAGTTAGGGGGGTGGGGATTTTCCTAATTTCTGTATTCACCAGACCTTTGAAGCTGTGTTGTGTTCAGTCTTCATTATCCAAATTGGCTTAACATTTGGAGTTTGTTGTTTTCATAATAGGAATAAAGAATTATCAAAGTGAAAAAATAGTGCCATATTTATTCTAAAAAATATATATTTTTTTTAAATATTCAAGTTGTTATTCTTTTGGTTTTTATCTCGATAAAATGAATTGATGCTTTATGACATATTATTTATATTCACTTTTTATGATGGTAGTTTGGGCTGAAACTCCAGATAATTTTCTCTTTGGCAGATATGTAAAAAACATTTTAATGAAATCTTCATTTAAAAAATTTTTAAATGGAACGTTACTCATTTTCAATTATGTGTGAAATGCGTGTACTTTTTAAGTATTTTATTGATGAATAATTTTTAGTATTTTTACAAATTTCATAGTGGAGCTCTTTTCATTTGTTTATAATTTATATGTGCTTCATACTAAGCCTTTTACATTTATTATATATCTTAAAATGTCAATCGCTGAAAAATGTTTTCTGTTCTCTGTACATATTTGACTTCAGAAATGTAAATCTTGCATATTGTATATTTTCTTTTCTCAAGTTGTTATAATTGAGTGAAAGTAAAGAGTACATGTAAAGGTGTTCTTATACGAAAATGATCAACATTTATGTAATAAAAAATTTGAAAGCTTTCCAAGTGAAGACTACGTTTCAATGTAGTTGGTTTTTAAAGAGCATGAAAAATCTATTTTTGATAATGGGATTGGGAGAGTTGTGGCTGTTCAATTTTTTGTGTCATTGTTAGGTTGAAAATTGTATCTAGACATTTAGTTCACAATAAAGTTTTTGTTTCCAAGTTATCTCAAAATTTGCAGTTTTAAAGCCTTTTTTATTGAGATATTAATCCATTTATGTTCGTTTAAATTATAGCCCACTATTTTTTAATGTTAGATTGCTGAATATAAACAATTCAAGCCAGCTCCTGTATGTGGTAAAGTATGTTAACAAAGAGGATTTTGTAGCATGTGTTGTTATTTTTTAAAATGATGTTGCATTTTCATACTTTGTAATTATAGTTGACTATTTTATGCAGAGTTTGAAAGCATAATTAAACTTTAAGCTTAATTTTTTAGAAAATTAAATGCATACGTAAAAAAAAAAAAAAGAAAAAATTTGGATTCTGACACTCTAGACATAATATTGCAATATGCATCAGTTTTTACTCTTGTAATTTTCGGTTGCTTTTACACAGATAGCATTTAAAAATACTTACTGGCTAGCTGAAAAGAAAAATCAAAATCATGCAGCTTATACATAAGAATGTTTTTTTTTTTTTTAATTATTATTATTATTATTATTATTATTATTATTATTATTATTAATTCCAGGCAAAAATGAAAGATAAATCTTAAGACTTCATTAAGATGCTTTTAAATCAAAAAGGGCATTTTGTACATTTTTATTTTCAAAAAGAATGTACATTCAAAAATTTTTAATCGTACGTCATTGTTATGTTGTGGTCTTGTACATAGTTTTCTTTAAATATTATACGACAAAGGAATTGAAGTTCTACAAATCTTTGAATGAAAAACTGGCTGTTGTGCCTGAGAAATAAATATTTATATAAAATTATATTCCATAACGCTGTGTGTTTTTGTGATTAATCTCACTTGTCCGACCTAATAAGAACATATGTATTTGTTTTTTAAAAATGTAAATATTTAAAATAATTTTATATAATATATATATATATAATTTTAGTCAGTTTTTACTTTAAATTCTATATTGTAAAGTATCATTGATGTAATATGGCATTTTGCGCTGTAGTAACGTGTCGTAGCACTTACAGAAGTACAAAAGGATGAGATATTTTATTTCATGGGACCAAAGGACCCAAATAAGAATTTGCTTTTGACAAAAGAATGGATACACAAATGTCAAAGACAAGATTCTATTAACGTGAAGAGCGGAAAAATCTGTAGCAAACATTTTCTCTATTCCGTGTTTATGAAGATGATAATGAAAAATCGCTTATTTAGATAGCCACAAAAAGAAACTTAAAATGGAATGCTGTGTCGAAAGTAAATTATGCTGACAATAATAAATCAAATGTTAATGGTTTTGAAATAAAACTCACAAATGAAAATATAGATATTCTTGAATGCCCTAAGTTTAAGGATAAACAAGAATGCATTGCTAATTTGAAGAGCAAAATAATATCCTTAGAAAACTGTATTAAAGTATTGAAAAATAGAGAGAAGAAAAATTTTAGAATGTTTGTTCAGCGGCAAAGAAGGTGGACGACATATAGAAAGAAACTGGTATCATAAATTAAAATCTCAAATAGCGAAATTTGGGAGGGGGAAAGAAGCACAAATCGGAGAATTGGGGAAAATGTCTAAAGCCTATTTTTATAAAGACGTAGATTAATGCATTACTGAAAAAGAAGGAAAAAATTAGGTGGACTAGTGAAGTATTTCTCGTTGCTTTGTCATAAGAGTTCTGTCATCTTAAAGCTATGATTTTTGGAAAGAAAAAGTTGGAATTCCTTTACCTAGTATTAGCAAATTAAAAAAATGGTGCGCTAAATTTTAGTGTAGTCCAAGAATTCAAAGTGATGTTCTTACTCTAAAGAAGGAAAAAGGTGAATAGTTGAATTCTATAGAAAAAATATGCATATAGATTGAAAACTCTGCTGTGACTCTAAACTGGACCAAGTTCTCGTTTTTTTTTTTTTTTTTTTTTTCCAAAATGTGCAGTTTGCTTTAATCAGAGGTCTCGTTTCGCACTCTGCCTCAAATTACTGAGAAATCGTGTTTTAGATAAAAAACTTGTTTTAGAAGATGGAACTGTTTTAAATTTTGATATTATTAAAGAGGTTTTAAATAGAGATTCGGAAGAAATAAAATTGTGTCACAAACTAAAACCGAATTATTTAATGATCAAGGGAAACGAGAGACAAAACGTTGCTCTAGCGAAAACATTATTTTCAAGAACTATTGCAAAGGTATACTCCACCTCGTAGGAAATCAAAAAACATCTGACTTCTAAGAGTTAATCGATAATATCTTCGGTATTACGAATAGTACCAACAAGAATAAAGTACTTAGCAAACTAATTAAGTACTTGTTAACGTTTTTCTTATTGTATCCTTTGTAACTAATTATTGATTCAATTTTGTGCTAGATTAGCATTCTAGATAAAATATAATACAGTCAAAAGTCGTTAATCCGTCGGGACTTCGGCGATTCCGGATTATCGATTTTTTCGGATTATAGATCATCAGTTTAAATCTCGTAAAATGGCATGCAGAAATTCTAAAATTAAAAAATATGAAACCGTAATTTATGAAATAAAGAACAATTATGATCTAAAGGGTATCAAAATTTGCAAAAAGAAAAAGCTTAATATTTATTTGTTTACTTTATTAAACATTTCTTTCAATGTAAGTTGTTTAAGTTTTGCTTCGTTTCATGTGATAATACTTTCTCTTTAATTCTATTAAACAGACATAATTTCTTGTTCAGTTACAAAGTTCCGCTGTTCAAGTCCTATAATTGCTGTGTCAAGAACACCGACTAATTTGTCAATCGAAATTTTTTTGTTTTCAATAACCTCTGTCACTTTTATTCGCTATCGGAAGCGAATTATAATGACGAGGAACTTGTTTTAAATCATATCAAAGACGGAGCATATCGAGATGAAATACTACATTTGGTAAGGAATTATAAGCCAAATAAAATAAAAACATCTGCGCTTAAGATAAGGAGTGTGCTGACAAATCAACTTCCAATTCATTACGCGCCCGCCGCCGAGCAGCGTGAAATTGATAAACAGATTTCGGATTTCAAAACATACTTTCGCTTTAGATCCTTTACATATTAACAAATATATATCGGAAATTCTATTTGATATAATCGAAAGTTTTAAGCTTACTTTTATAAAATTGCTCTTACAGTCTGCAAAAAAATATAAGCGGATGCAATTCGAAAATTAAGGAACAACGCAATCATCAACATTAACCGAAATAGATAATTTATTTAGCTTATACGTCCATTATACATAAAATGCGCACGCGAAAACGTATTCTGCACTTGCGCACACTCATATGCGCAGTCGTAAAAGGTCTTACACGCATGTGTCAACGCGGCGCATGCGCAGAATGTTTTTAGTTTTGATGTCCGGATTATAGATCGTTCCGAATTAACGACTTTTGACTGTAGTATAAAACATCAAAGTAATTGGCATAAAAAGACCTGCCTCCTTTATGCACACTTTTGAAAAATTTAATAACTGATTCAGGTACTGTAAAGCTATTTTGTCAAAATTAAGGTAACAGTCCTGTGTTTATTTAATTATAATATAGATGGAAGTATAAATTACAAAATTATTTTTAAAATATCTATTTTTATATTGAATCGGAAGAGAAATATGCTAATGTAAAATATACAATTAGGTAAAAAATCAAACGTAGATTAGCAGAAATTTTGCCATATGTGTCATATATGTTTAAAACTATGTCAATGTATAGTTGTTTTTGAGTAAATTTAAATAGCTGCTATTATAGAAGCAGTATAAAAATTCTCTCAGTTAGCATGAAGATAAAGAAATGATTATAAATAAAACGTGCATTAAGTAAAAAACCTGCAAATAATAATAATAATAATAAATTTAAAAACACGGAACTTTATGTTAAAAGAGTAGTGCATTTTATCCAATATTTTAAAATTGAGTAAGTGTTATTAAATTTTTTAATGTAACATTGTCTCTTCCAAATTATAGCTAGCTTTCACACACAGCTCATTTTAAACGCTGGTTCAAAAATGCTAATTTCTAAGCTGTGAATTGCATCTCCGCGTTCAATGTCATCATGACTACGTCATCACTTCTCACTTTCTGCTTCAGGGGGAAAAGCTGTATGAGCTAGCCCTTCGCTTCTAAGTCCTGGGTATGGCAGTCAGCATCGCTAAGCATTTTCCCATCTATGCAACTTCCTTACTGCTTTTCAAGACTAATAAAATATCTTTATTAATACAGGGTTGCAATGCTATCTGGAAATGAAAAATATACTGAAAGAGTCGAATTTAAATACGTAAGCCAAAACTGCGTAAGTCGGAATTTCATATAGTGATTCCCGAAAAGGTAGTTTTTGCATCAACACTAAAAGTGGCTCACTTATTAACTACTTGACAAATTATGTTTCATGTGAGCGCCATTCTGCCAGCTGGCATAGAGCAAATTTTTGCAATGCCAATCAGATTGTCTTTCAGAAAGCATGTTTCCAGCAATCAGGTTACCATGACTTGCATGCTGTTCTACAGAACAAGAAATCCATGCAAGTTGAATGAAATAAAATTCTTCCTCGTGATTTAGAGAGCTTCTTTTTTTATTGTCATCTCCAGTTAAAAAAATCTAGTAAGTGAAACTTTGTAATCTTTTAAAAATACATACTTAACATATTCTATCATATTTGCTTGTTAGAATAATAACAATGCATGCAATGTATTTTTAAAGTTAAAAGAAATGTATTGTTGCTTTTTTAATCATATTGTGCATTATTAAAAATAAACTTTTCAACATCGTTGATGGCATGCATATATGAGGATTATTGGACTTCGGAATTTTGAAAGAAAATGTGATACTTTGCTTGGCAAGTGCCAAAATGGTTATTCGTCGAGAGAGCGTGTTGAGCTCTGGGAAGGACTGAACCGAAGAGTCAGGAGCTGTGCTCTGTGTGTCGTCGAGTGCATTGCGAGTTGTAGCGTGGAGAGTACGCAGAGTTCCAAAAACGACCAAGCAGGAGCTGTATTCTGGTGCTTTGCAGTGAAGCTGTCTCCACCGTGTGATAACCTGGAAGCAGTGTCGCTGATCGTGTCAGCGTGTTTATAGTAGCTCATCGACGACTGTAAAAACATGTTTTGGAATTGTCCTGACAATACTGGCCAATAAAGTGTGTTTCGATATTTCATTAAGTAGTATTGTCATTATTCACTCCAAATCCTCACGAACCCCATACCAACGTGAAGGAAGAAAATAACGTAACAACTGGTGCCAGAAAAGAAAAAGGCAACAATATCATTTGTTGTGGCTTCTTCCTTCTAAATTATTATTAGTTAATAACACTTTCAAATTTCAGGCAATTTTCTTTGGCATACTCGCCAAACTAATTCTATCAGTATGATGACATACCATCACGAAATTTTGTTAAATAGATTTCTTTCTTTTAGCTGTAAGATAACTGCAAAAAAGACCTATTTTAATCCAGACTGGGCAGTAGAGTATGTTTGCAACCTACTGAAAAAGCTTCTAACAGGGCAAGATGCGTGTTTTGCTAAAAAAATCATCCTTTATCTTATCATAATTTTTAAATGCATGTGTTTAAAGTCTAAGTAATTGCTTAGTAATCCTCGCACGGTAATTACCAGTATTTTTGGAAGCAATAAATTTTTATTGTTATTAAAAGATCTTTCTCAGACAAACCACCTCTTTAAGAACCAAAATTGGTAAAACTCGATATTACGGTCCAGGTTGGCACGTTTTCAAAAAATTGTTGAGTCGCGGAATGGGTTGTTTTCGCGCCTTTTAAAAAATCGCTAACTCATCATATCGCCATATTAGATGGTTGCGAATTTAAATTAATTCTGTAAACATGCAAAAATATCTGAAATAGGACTTCAAGAAAAAGTGGGAAAAGTGCAGAATCACCCACTGCTTGGCGCGTTTTTAAGAATTGCACATACTCTGTATCCATATATATATTGACCAATTTTCACTTAAAAAAAATCCCAGAATTGAACAAAAATGACATTACGCACTCCCTTGACTTTATCCATGTACACATCGACTTATTTTCACCTAAACACCAAACAAATAAGTGGGCGATTCTGCACTTTTACCTAAAGTATTTGGAAGTTAATAACTATGTATTTTATAGGATAAACAATATTAAAAGTTTTCATAATATTCTCTATACCATTTTTAAGACAGTAGCAAAATGAAGTAAAGCATTTTATCACGAAATTTGAGAAATTGTAATAAGCAGTAAATGATCAGAAAGCATTGATTCGTATTTAAGTTATTAGATTTGGTGCGATTTCACTTCACTTGACGACTGGACCATAATCTCCAGTCTAGCCCCAAAATAATTTGTAACTGTTTCTGTTCATCTCGGAGAGGGCTCAGTGTAATTGGTTTACTTTTATTTTTTAATTCCTAGATTCAAGCTAAATAATTATGATCAGCCAAGGGAAATGAAATAGTGAACTTTTTAGTGATGATCATTGCTGACTCTGAACATGACCATTATTTTTAGAACATAAATAAGCATCATTATTGAACATTTCCTCTCTAGAAAATCAAAATTGTCTGCAGTTGTAGGGATTTGTCTTAAAATTACTTACAGTTGAAATATAGTTACTTGATATTGTAAATAATAAGTTATTTATGTAAATAGTAAGTTTCTGAATGTACATAATCAAATTGGAAAAGCAACACATGAATTTAAGCAAGGAAGCTGGGTGAGGTCCCTCTTTTAATGAGTAAAGCTCCTGAAAAGAGAGACCTGTTTGTGATTGTCCTTGGAATCCAAAGGTGTTTATTCAAAATTTGTAGCAAACGAAGATTGCTCTTTTTCTTAATTTTAAATACATGTTCAATTGGTTAAGTTTCAATTATGTGTCTCTAAAATGCCATAAAATTGAACGACACCAGTGTTTGTTTTGTCGTTTATAGCAAAGGACACAACAACTGTCAGGTTAAAAGGGAGAGATGCCTCTCTAACAAAACCTTGCTTGTGTTGCACAAAAGGAAAAACCGTGTCTCCGGCCAGACCACAGTAACACAAATGCCAAAAAAAAAAAAATTCTCTTTACATTTAAGTTCATGTTAAACATAGATAACATGTACATAAATTTTAGTGTTTTACTCCGTACATCTGTTGTTTTAGAAGATATGACACATTCCTTTTTATGAAATAATTTTTGTACAGTTTAGTCTTTTTATTTTATAGCTTATTTAATGGTAAAGAAAACTGTGGGAATAAAAATTTTAATTTAATACATATTCATTCAGTCATGTACTCTAAAACCCAGGTTTGCTCTTTTATAACATCGATTCCTGGGAAGTTCAACAGCGACTACTCCATTTGTGTCTTCTTTGGCCCACCAACGCCAAAGCCGTAAAGTTTCTAAACAATGCAGTTCGAATCCTCGCAAACGGGCTGGCTGCATGGACATTTTCGTGGTTTTCCTCATGCGTAACGTTTATAAAAGCCAGTTTCTCTTAGAAAGTTCGCCCTGAAGGCAGTCCGAGTGCTTTCCTATAATTAAATAAACCAAACCCTTTGTCCCTTCATTTCTCCCATTTATAAGTGAGTGACCTTGACGGTGCACAGACTTCACTTATTGATCAAGAACTCAATTTGATGTTGTCAAAATATTATACAGTGAGTATGTTAATCTGAAGTAAAGTCAAAATAGAATACAGAAGTGTCAGCTGTCAGAACCGTATGATGTAGGGCAACTGTATATATTTTTATAAACTTCTGTTTAGAAAAATGCTTATATGAAATGTATTTGTCGACTTTTTCACAGAAACTTTATGAGGGAAGAATTATATGCATTAGAATAGAACTGTGTTTTATATATTTTACAACAAATTTTTTTTTCCCATTCATTTTTGTTATTTGCTTTCATTCACACGATCATTAAGCAGACTGAACAATTAATTTGGCTTTTCAAAACGTTATGATAAAAATATGAGAATTTTCTTTACAGTGAATTTTCACTAAGATGACCACTCACAATTCCAGATGATTTTGGGCTTCAGTGAAGATTGTGTTCTTAGAAGTTTTTGATGTCTGTTAGTTTATATGAGCCAGTTTCTCTTAGAGAGTTCTCCCTGAAGGCATCCCTCCCCTTAGGCAGATAGTCCTCAAGTGCTTTCTCATAATTAAATAAACCAAAGCCTTTGTGCCTTCATTTCTCCCATTTATGACCTTGTCCATGTACAGTCTCTGATTTTATCTTTAAGATCATTATTTTTCAGGATACTTAAATGTAAAAGTGATTGTGGCCCAGATATGGCTGGGATTTCATATTTTTGATTTACTTTACTTTTTAACTTTTCATAAATCTAGATTTGCGAAATGTGTACTCATTTCTCAAATTTTGTTTTAGTTAAAACATATCATTCAGAATGAAAACTTTTAGACAAACACTAAATGCTAAGTACTTTTACATACTTGTACAGAAGCAGAAAAACCTAATACTGGTGGAAAACAGAAATACTCAGTATTTACTAAA